CATCACACTACCACCACTATGTTTGACTGTTGGTATGATGTTCTTTTTATGAAATGCTGTGTTGGTTTTATTCCAGATGTAACGGGACACACACCTTCCAAGAAGTTCAACTTTTGTCTCATCAGTCCACAGAATATTTGCCCAATAGTCTTGGGGATAATCAAGATATTTTTTTGGCAAATGAGAGACGAGCCTTTGTGTTATTTTTTGTCAGCAGTGGCTTTTGCCTTGGAACTCTCCATGATGCCGTTTTTGCCCAGTCTCTTTCTTATTTTTGAATCATGAACACTGACCTTAATTGAGGCAAGTGAGGCCTGGAGTTCTTTAGATGTTGTTCTGGGTTCTTCTATGACTTCTTGGATGAGTCGTCGTTGTGCTCTTGGAGTAATTTTGGTTGGCCGGCCACTCCTGGGAAGGTTCACCATTGTTCCATGTTTTCTCAATTTGTGGATAATGGCTCTGATCATGGTTCTCTGGAGTCCCAAAGCCTTAGAAATGGCTTTATAATCTTTTCCAGACTGATACATGTCAACTGTTTTGATTTTCATCTGTTCTTGAATTTCTTTAGATCGCGGCATAATGTGTTGCGATTTAAGCATGCTTCTCTTTGTCAGACAGGTTTTATTTAAGTGATTTCTTGATTCAACAGGTCTGGCAGTAATCAGGCCTGGGTGTGGCTAGTGAAATTTAACTCAGCTTTCTAAAATAATGTGATTAATTGCAGTTCTTTCATGATTTAACAGGAGGGGGCAATTAATTTTTCACGTAGGGCCACGTAGGTTTGGACAGCTTTTTTCCCTTAATAAATGAAATCATCATTTAAAAACTGCATTTTGTATTTACTTGCATTATCTTTGTGTAATATTTAAATTTGTTTGATGATCTGAAACATTAAAGTGTGACAAACATGCAAAAAAATAAGAAATCAGGAAGGGGGCCAACACTTTTTCACACCACTGTATATAATATACAATAAAATAAACTATATTCAAAGTTAACTACCTGTTAAGCAAAAAAAAGGATGTTTCTTGATATAAAGTTCTGCTGAACTTTATCTTGCTGTCAGTTTTCTCATTAAGTTAAGATGCAGACTTTCACCTCTGAAAGCAAGAGCGTCTGAAAAGTGCTGGATTTAAAATAAAGATCTTCATCTGAAAGCCTCAGGCCTGTCGTGCTGGATATCCTTCCAGTCTACTGCTGGCCAAACCGCACACTGTGCCTTGGGCTTCACGCTGCCTCCCATTTTGCTCTGATACACGAGAGAGGAAGATATGCGGCAGCCACCTAAAAGCTGCTGACTGAGCTCTTATAGTGTGATTTCATTCAAGGAGTGAAATCTTTGTTACTGTACAAAGATTTAACAAAACAATGCATTGTAGTGCTCAAAGAAAGCTAAAACTAAATTATTATTGATAACATATAAGTGGAAATTCTTAAAAAAAAAAAGTGTGATAGGACGGACGCGCCTAAGTATTTAACTAATGGGACATTAGTGAAGAAAATTGGTCTCGCTCCAGTGCAAAAACTCTTGAAGAGATGAAATTTCCAAGTACATGTTTTATCTTGAACAATGCATCATGTATTAAAGGGTGGGCTGCAAGGCATGATATTGTTTGGTTCTTACCACCAGCGGAATGCTAAACATGCACATCACTGTTCAGTCCTTCATTTTATAAATAGTCCATATCCATGACCTTCCCGTGGAAATATGCTGAATGTCATAGTAAAATCATTGTTTGGGATATGCATGCTAGGAGAATGTTGATGTGAGCAGTTTAGCCTAGCTTTGGGTAACAGATAAGGGGCGGCAAGGACATTTAAAATCCTGGGAATTCAGATATTAGAGTATTTTGTGAATGTGGAGTGATTATTCCTGACCTTGAATTTGGCCTTGCAGGAGTACAGAATGAAAATGTGTCCACTGGTGCCTTAGGGTCCAAGACAAACCAAAATCTGAGGGCTGATGTACCTGCAACACCAGAACAAATGTTCAACCTCTAGTGCACACATATGAGCATGATTCACTCAAATTCATTCATTCAAACATCAATTTCATAATGATTTCAGTTATATTTAAGAAAATATCAAATAAAACTAAACTTTTAGATTTAAGATAATATAAAATAAAAATAATTTCAATTCATTATTAAAAATCAATTAAAGTTTTATAATTGAAATGGCATTTTGATGTTATATCTCGGATTCAAATTTTTGTCAACTTGTTTTTTGTTTGTCAGTCAGCATAATTTTTGTATTTCTTTTTGGAATTGATTGGTCATAGGCCTCATTAATCTTAACTTATGCAACTCAACTTTGAGAGAAAAACAAAAAACATTAATTGTGGATAAATGTGGCTATATTGACTCATTGTCTGTTGCAAAAATAAATACAAAACCAGTGCTATTTGAAAGATAAGTTGATAAAAATTGAATATTGAATATTTTTTAATAATATAGCAGAACAAGAAATTTAACAGCAATTTTTTTACACCACAAATGTAACAAGGTGACAAGTTCTTATGCCCTGTGTGAGCAAAGTCTGTAAGTTTTAGTCCAATGCGATAAAGCGATAACTAGCATCTTTCGGGAAGAAGAAAATCCTCTCTGGGTCAAAATGAACAGAACACAACATGAGAGTTACACCCGTCTATGTCTGTAATAGTTCAGTTAGCAAATGTGGAAAAAAAAATCTACTTTCAAAGTCAAAAGACCCATTTCTAAATAGAAATAAAGGTCAGTCCCAATAGAATCAACAGCTTGTGTCTTCTGAAGAGGTCACACTTACTTCTCTACAAAGTCAAGTTTTGATTATTGTCATTACATGTGAGAGAAAGGCAGTGGAACTGCATCTGCCAAGGGCACAAGCACAGAGGCACTGTCTTTCAGACATGCAGACAGAGACAGTCAGGCGTTCCTCAGGGAGTCCTATGTGTGTCGTCTGACACAGCCACTAGCTACCTGACAATACTCAGTTTATTCTGCAGCCAGGCTCAGACAGACAAAAACTAGGTTGAACAGAATTTATGCTGAGGATAATTTCGGGAAATGAAGAGGGAGGGATGTTTGTGGAAGGAAATGAAAAGAAGTCACAGTTCCATAATGCTAGGAATTTAACACGGCATGCTATGCTTTTGAAAACCATCCAAAAGCAAATCAACTGAATATGAACTCTTCAACTCTAGTTCATTTGAATAACAGAATGATTAAAAATCAGCTCAAAATTAAGTTCAAAAGATGGCTTCTCCAATTGTCATGGCACATTTCAGTTCATCTGTCCTTCCTTTAAGAACGAAATAGCACTTTTCTCCTGTGCTGCTATGGTTAATGTCTGGTATGTAGGATGATGTCATAAAGAGAAATCACTGTTTTGTCTATGTGCTGTTTCTCCATGACTTTGGTGCCACCTAGTGGTACATTCACTATAAAATATTGTAAAGACAACCGTACTCTGTGCAGATAATATTAGAATATATTGAGATAAAACAGTATTATTATACAAATAATTATACTATAATGCAGATATCCTCCTTGCATATATTTTTCCATGCAAAAGTTTAGGGTTAGTAAGATTTTTTGCTTTTTTGAAAGAAGTGTCTTATGCTCACCAAGGTAGGATTTGTTTAATCAAAAATACAGTATAAATAAAAATATTTTAATATGTAATTTATTCCTGTGGTGGCAAAGCTGAATTTTCAGAAGCCATTACTCCGGTCTTCAGTGTCACATGATCCTTCAGAAATCATTCTAATATGCTGATTTGCTGCTCAATGTTGAACACAGTTGTGCCGCTTAATGTTTTTGTGAAAACCATTATACATAGCAGTTCAGTCACAAAGACCAGCAATCGTGAATTACATTATGCCACCGCACTAGCATTATGTGCTTATAATCAATTATGAAATGTGTTTTCATAAATAGCAGCAATTCTAATCAAAATAGCAGAAGCATTTCCAATGATGTAAGTGAATAGAATTATTCATGTTTTGGTATTTATCGGTCCTTTTAAGTGTCAGGGGACTGGATGCTATTAGTACCAATCAAATTATTTATTTGTAATGTTTTCCCCTCTCTGTCTCCATAGGCTGTACAGGAGAGAAAGACAGATCGGCTCTCAGCCATGAGGCTTTCCTGCTCATGGCAAACTCCCAGAATGACATGGAGGATTGGGTCAAAGCCATCAGACGTGTCATCTGGGCTCCCTTTGGAGGAGGTAGCTTATCTCACACAAATAAAACCTAAGCATTCTATCTTATGAGGCAGCATAGTCAAAAAAACAAGAAAACTAAACTAGTAAGCATACGTCTGATTTTCTATTCTTGCATTGTTTGGGTAGAGTGTGATCTATATCTGGCACACAGCTTATATCATGCTGCATGGTTGATATACAGGCACACTAAAATAGCAACAGCACTGGCAGAGTCTGAATGACTGGCTGAATCTTTAGTATATAATAACAGATTATTTTGGGGTGCCTGAATAAAGGCAAACATTTTAATATAATTTTAATGATATTAAATATCCGCAACAGGACGCCATTGTAATGTGTCCCAGAAAGAATGCCGTTCTCATCATAGCTTATATAGACACAACAGCAACAAGACTTCTCAATATCGCCCTTACACATCAAATCTCACCTCTCAAGCCTCCAGGTGAAGTGGGAAGGCAAATTCGATGCACTTGTAAATATATCTCAATCTTGTTATTGGTTTACAAGATGCTATAAGCCTACAACAGATGTATTTACGTTAAATTATTTCTGATACTTTGATATTAAGACCTACGTCTGCACAAATGTGACAATAAAAATGTGACAATAAAAATAAGTTAATATTTAGTAACTTACATTTTAGACACAAAACACTTACACTTAGGCTACTTTGTCGATTTTTGCTTGTCAAAGAACATGTTTCCAAAAACCATGTACAGTAAAATGGCCGTTGCGGTGTTTCCTTTCTAAATTAATCAGTGTTTTTAACGAATCGGTTGAGTGAATGATTATATGATTCACTCATATACATAAAACAGTGTTGTTGTTAACTAATACTAAATTAAAACGTTTTGTTTATTGAAATAAATATAAAATAAAATAAATTGGATCAAAAACGTAACTTTAAAAACGTTAAAAGAGCATATGATATGTTAGCAAGGTAAAGTATTTTTTCTTAAAGAAACTGGTTGTGTAGCCTACTGTACATACAGTAAGGGAGATATTGTCTATGGCGACATATTGTTTAAATATTTTCTGTCAGTTTGCCCACAAGGCATTTACTATGGCGTTGTAAACATAATTTGTATTAATTATTGGACTTCGTTTTGTACTGAGAGGTACATTTGCAGACGGTTCCTAAAGCAGCCTAGGCGAATATCCAGCGAATATCAAACTTAAAACTAACTTTACCGCGCTTGAAAAGTTGCCTTTGCAACTAACAGCAACACATTTTAAGTACTGAAATTACTAAAGCTTAAACTGATCTAAAAATCGAATGAAATATTTAGCACATAATTTAGAACAAAAGCACATATAGGCCTAATAAAATAGCTAAAACCTAAGCTAATATTAAAATGAAACTCAATATAAATGATATAACAGTTCATTCAAAATAATAATAAATGATATAACAGTTACTAAAATATCTGGTCTGCGTTATACAAGCAGTGGTCCTGCTGGACTGAGCACATGTGGAACGTCTCGATCACTAGTTGTCTATTTAAATAATCCTGAAAATTTAATAGTGTAAATATCATAGTGTAAATCATTTTAATCAAGACATCGCTGGGGAAAAATCTGGGCATTGATGGGTTAAGCAATATGATACCTTTCTGTGTAATCGCTTGCGCTCATCCCACATTCTCTCCACACTCTCTGTGAGGCTGGTTACCATTACAATGAAATGGGCAAAAACAGGTGTGCACACGCTCACTCACATTCTCATGCATCACTGTTCACTTGTGCCTGAAGTGGACTGCTGCCCGTGCCAGCAGGGATCTGTCATGTGCCCCATGCCTGAAGTTACAGCTCTGTCTTGTCTGTTCGCTCATCGTGGCTTGTGTGTGCTTGCTGAAGATTGTAGTATACGAGGCAGAACCGATGTCTTGCAAGGTATGATAGGACACTGTACAGTCTTTGAAACAGTACATTTTGGAGTTTTAATCAAATTTTGTGAAGCATATTTTGATTTCTAACAGTTTGATAATGTCGTCGCAAGTTTAAAACGTGTTTTTTTTACAAATCACTCTTTTTACATGTTTCTCTGGTGCTTGTATTATTGTAGTTATCTTTGGCCAGCGCCTGGAGTAGTCTTTGAAACAGTACATTTTGGAGTTTTAATCAAATTTTGTGAAGCATATTTTGATTTCTAACAGTTTGATAATGTCGTCGCAAGTTTAAAACGTGTTTTTTTTTACAAATCACTCTTTTTACATGTTTCTCTGGTGCTTGTATTATTGTAGTTATCTTTGGCCAGCGCCTGGAGGACACAGTACAGTATGAGAGAAAGTTTGGACCCCGACTGGCCCCTCTGCTGGTGGAGCAGTGTGTGGATTTCATACGGGAGCAGGGTCTGAAAGAGGAAGGTCTCTTTAGGATGCCAGGACAGGCCAACCTGGTCAAAGAACTGCAGGATGCTTTTGACTGTGGGGATAAGCCTCTGTTTGACAGGTGAGACCAGTTCAAAACTTCCTTTTACATTTACATTTAATCACTCATCAGACCATTTCATTCAAGGTGACTAACAAATGAAGAATAGCACAAGCAATTTATCATAAAACCCAACAATATTTCCACTAAATGATGCCGAGTTTCAGTTAACTAGAGTAGCACTCAAGCTGTAGCAGAAGTCAAACGCAGACAAACAGCTTTCTTTGGAGGGACCAATAAACTGATTTGTAGAAACAATTTAGACTGATGTGGATATCAGTGTTATAAAGAGCATTAAGTTGCTTTAAACATGCTTTGCTCTACCAGTTTAGACCAGCATGAGTTTCTACTCTATATCTAGGCTGGCTTATGCCGGTTAGGTGCTTGACAGTGTGCTGGACCAGTTTACCATACTTGTCTAGACACGAAAACTAAACTGATGTATTTGTGTATCCCCGACCTGTGTGTGACCTCTTGCAGTAACACTGACATTCACACAGTGGCGTCCCTCCTGAAGCTTTACCTCAGGGAGTTGCCAGAGCCTGTGATCCCCTTTAATAAATATGAGGACTTCCTAACCTGTGCACAGCTTCTGCTAAAAGATGAAGAAGTGGTGAGTCTGCTATACATCAGCCTTCAATGAGATGAAGTTGAATTAAATAATGATTGTCCTTGCAAAAAAGAAGTGACTTTACTTTAGCATATGTTTAAGGAGTATTAGAGTATTTATTATTGAAATAATATACTTTAAAAGAATATACTTAAATGTGTACACTTGACACTTGATTGCATGCTATTTATAATATAGAATATATTACCGTATTGTATTTCAAATATATATTAAATGCAATTAATTGAAGTTTAAAGTGTTTTTGACACACTTACTGTAAGTGGAACTTATCTACATCTTTATATGTAATTTCAGAATTTCTTATTTTTAATTTCTTCTGACAAGCAAACTAAAATATACTTTACTTTAAAATATATTAACATTTAATGTAATATCAAAAAACAGTGCAGTTAAAATTATAATCAAGTACTTTACATGTGAAATTAATGTTTTACTCTAAACTAAAGCATGACAGAAGATTATACTAAACTGTTAATTTTACATTTTTACAATGTGTTTAGAAACATGAACGTGTACTTTATGTACAATATTTTGGATTTGTATTTCATTAATAAAATATTATCTGCAAGCACAATTTTTTTTGAATATATACTTTTAAGATTTATAGTATACTACAAGGGCACATTCAGTACAATTAAAGGTGGTTTTGAAAAGCTCACTGCATTTTTTTCCCCCACCAAAAACCTTGTTTCCTGGATTTGTAATGTATCTTGTTCCCATGTGTCTTCTAAAGGGACTCAGTGAGCTTGTGAAGCAGGTGAACACTCTTCCTCAGGCTAATTATAATTTGTTAAAGTACATTTGCAAGTAAGTGAATATATAGCATCTCTTCAGTTTTCTTGTACATGGCGATGTTGTTGAAACGATTTCTTTACTTATTTGAATGAATGGTAAATTAATGTTGTATTCACTGTATGAATTCAATGTAGATTCTTAGATGAGGTGCAATCACACTCGCATGAGAACAAGATGAGCGTTCAGAACCTCGCAACAGTTTTTGGACCAAATATACTTCGGCCTAAAGTAGAGGACCCTGTTTCAATGATGGAAGGTAAGTACGTCTGAAATTGGGAATATTTGGCCGAGATACAACAATTTGAAAATCTGGAATCTGAGGGCTCCAAATCCAAATATTCAGAAAATCGCCTTTAAAGTTGTCCAAATAAAGTTCTTAGCAATACATATTACTAATCGAATATATATTTATGGTAGGAAATTTACAAAATATCATCATGGAACATAATCTTTACATAATATCCTAATGATTTTTGGCATAAAAGAAAAATCGATAATTTTGACCCATACAATGTATTTTTGGCTATTGCTACAAATATCCCCTTGCTACTTATGACTGGTTTTGTGGTCCAGGGTCACATATTTATCAGTTCAATATAATTTAAGTTGAAATGAATGGTAAAGCCAGTTTGATTATTCTTAAATTTTTTACAGTGTAGTTATTTACTTTTTTTTTTTTGTTAGGAACCTCCCAGGTTCAGCACCTGATGACGGTGTTGATCAGTGAACATGAGCGTCTGTATGTGGGGACTGAGGAAGATGTGTCTTCCGAACAGACAGGAAGTTGTCTTCCAGGTCTGCGAGGCATGGCGGAGTGGATCTCCGATGAGGAGATGCTGAACTGCTCATCGCTGAGCCAGACGTCCAAAGTGGCAGATAGTGTGTGTGGCAGTGCCACGTCTTTAGATATCAATACAGGTGCCCCTACCATTGCCAAAATGACACCTCAGGGAAAAGCTGGGGTGACAGTCAGCCCCAGCAAACAAGCAAAATCCCTCCCCTCCTGGAAGTACTCCTTCAAGAGCGGAGGGGTACGCGCTCAGCCTGCAAAAATTGGGGGCTCATCTGTGGACGTGTCCACCTTGCCCAGTACGGGCAACTGGTTGATGAACGGGCTTTCCTCTCTGCGCAGCCACCGGCGTACGTCATCCGGAGAGCGCATGGGTAAGGATTCAGCCCTGTCACACCGTCTGTCCACTTACGACAACGTGACCTCATCCAGTCTCAGCGTACCCAGCGTCGCAAGCACGCCCTGGTCCACATCCTCCTGTGAGATCTTAGTGGCCGACTCTGTGGGTAGTGACCCCTCTGGACTGAACTCTGTGAAGGTGGACTGGTCAGCTGGAGGATCTGTCCAAGGGCAAAGTGAAGACAGGAATTCGGAGGTCACTGAGAGCAGCGAAGCACTGGAAATGTATGTGAGCAGTGCAGGCTGCAGTGAGAATGGAAATGGAGAAGATGTGGTGAACGTCACAGGAGATACTGATATTAGCATGACAGCACTTAACGGCCTGGTAACAGAGCTGAAAGACGAGTTAAAGAAACAGAAGGCCAACTATGAAACTCGAATACGAAGGTATGTGTGAAATCCACAGCACATTGATAATGAGTATTTTGTCTTTAGACTTCATAAGGTAAAGTTTACTTAAAACACTTAAATTATAAGCTTTCTCATCATTACAGTTGTGTTAACATCTTTTTAAAAGCTGACGTGTATAGTTTTTTCAGTGTTAGGTATGAAACAAAAGTTGCAATCATTATTTATTACAGAACTTTAATTGATTGTATTGTTGTCACTAATTGCTGCAACCTCATGTGAGTGACAGGCTGCCAAAAAAATAAAAAATAGAACATCGCTTATTACTGCTTCTGGGTCCAAAAACTCTATCAGATGCCAAAAGTGAAATCTCAGTTGGCAAAACAGTGATTCATCTTTTATTAATCATTATTAATCGTGAGCCCAGAGACTGTTGTGTACGCCGTGAGCTTTTCAAAGCTGAGCTTAAATGTGTGATATGAATAAATAGTGCTTATAAACATCTGAAGCAACTAGAGGCTTGGACCCGGAAACAGTATTTCTTACATTGTGACTTAACAAGCAGATTATGGTGACTATAAATTGTTATGATGTTAACAGTTGAATTTCAGTGCATTCTAATGAGGTGGTAATCTGCTAACCCTAATATAAAACAACTGCATCAGTTCGTGAAGTCTAATAAACCCAGCACCATGATCTTATAGTTCTTGTACAGTGTTTTGGACTTAAAATCAAATGCTAAGCAGGTCATGCAAGATACTGCCCATCGTTGAGACTGGGGATGAGAAACTTTTCCTCTCCGTTTTTATGATTCTCTTTTCTTTTTCTCAAAACAGCAAAACATGGACAGAACCCTTCCAAAGATTTTCACATAGATGTCGAGTCTGAAATAACACGGTTCATTGTTCAGCTTTGAGTTACTGCACATAAGCTGAAGAAAACTAAAAAACAGTCTAGAATAAACAAAGACACATACTCATTGAATTGTATACACATACATACAGTACATTCTCACAGATTCAAACTACAGACACTTCAACACTCCTATTTTTCTGAATAAATAAATAAAATGAAATCAAGGTTACAGTAATACTTGTAAAATGTGAGCTGTATGGCATCAAGTGTGAGGTAGATCAGACTCGACCTTTAAACGGCTCGTGTTTCATGCCTAAAAGCTTTTGCTCTTTGCAGTTATAGCAGGCTCAGGCTTCCCAGGCAAGTATGTAGGGCTTGATATCATTGCCACTGTTAAGAGCACTTAAAACAAAACAACAATAATATAAAGTAATAGCAAAATATTTCGTTTTTTACCCTGTTCACAGGTAAATAAATCCAATGGGCTGAACCCCATACGTCAACAACATTCAGATTCCCACTTTCTACTCCACAACTTAGGCCTATTCAACATTCTCTCACCTTCGCATTCTAAAGCAAATGTAAAACAAACCCACTTCCCTGATATATCTTAAACTTTTTATCAAATCATGTGTGGAGCTCCAGTTTTCAATGTAGGTCAATCCCCAATACAGTAGGTCCCGTTCATTTACAGCACATTACATGCCATTAAAGACCTTCCGACCTGACAGGAGAAACAAAAAAACGCTAAAAGTAAAACCAATCCAAAGATCTGGTTCATTCCACTGTTGTACAAAAATAAATAAATAAGTAGCTTAACAACTCTAATGGAATATGCTAGGAATGGACCAGTGTAGACTTTTTTTTGTTGGTGTTCCAAATAATAATTTCTAAAATACGTGCTCTGCCAGCTCAGAAAATTTCTGACTCAAATGTCAAGAAACAAACCTATTAAAAATATTAGACAAAAACTGCAAAATGCAATGATACATACAATCACAGCTAAAGAAAGCGCAATGCTTGTTCTATAAGCAGATTTTGAAGGGGTAAAACAATTATTTTTTAATAATTATAACAAATAAAAAAGTGCTGAAATCCTAGATAACTAGGACTAGGACAAGAACTAGAACATCAGAGACATACGCACAAGCACATCACATTTCACAGTCAATCAGCAGCAAAACTATTCATGAAAAAAGAACAGCCTGGTAAAATAAATCAACGTACATATAAAAATATTTTTTTTGATGTTGTGAGTTGTTATATCTAAATGAAACTGTACAAAACAACATGACCCAGAAAATGCCACCTCAGGCAAGTTATGTCAAAGTGTACTTAAATAGCTGATATTAATTTGTGCAATATGGTAATGTCCATTGTAAAATACTAACATGGACTTGTTTCTAAAGACTTTCATATCCCAAGTGACCAAGAAAATTATACATTGACCAGGAAAAAGACTCAAAATAAATTAATTTGAGAAAATATATTCACAATTCAATCTTTACAGATAACCTTCCAAAATCACTCTACGACAACATGACAAAATACTCTAAATGTAGCTTATAAAAGAAGAGATTTGTTAAGGAGTTCACTATCATTGGCTGAGTCTGTTAGGGCTGTCGCTAAAAAGATAAAACTGTGTAGTCATTTACAGCATCTAGAGCGGAACACAAAAAAGCCATACCCGACCCAAAATAAAGTATTAGACTGGCCTAAATCTGATACCATGCCACACACAGAGAAACTCCAGGGGAAGGTGATAGTCATCTGCAGCAGCTCAGGGGTCCCGCAGAGGCCTCCAGGCTGCTGTCTGTGTCTGAGGCCACGGTGGGCTCTGTGGACATGGACGAGACGTCATTGATGGAGGAAGAGGAGGAGGGCTGGGGTGAGCCGTTGATCACTGCTGCACCTGTGCTATGTGAAACACGACAGTCAGTTAGATCACCCAAACATGATGTGTGACTATATGCAAATGGTAAATCAATTTAAATAAAAAATTATTAGCATAATCTGCATTAGACTAAGAGAAAATCGTCTTACTAACCTATAGGGGAAGGCTGACCTCGAATTACATTTTTTATCCGTTCTTCCCAATCCAGGACTTCTTTATAGATCAGCTCTGTAGAAGACAAAGAAAACAAAGAAAGAACAATTAGAATATAACGCGAGAGAAAGAACAGAGGCCTACACAATTTTTATCTAAGTAAGCCATTTAAGGAAATAAAGCTTTGTAAATGTATATATTTAGCACAAAAACCATAGGGATTTCATCTGGGTTTAATGAAATTAAACAGATGCATAAAATCTGGGTAAAAATGTATAGTAACTTGAAAATATGGTAATGAACACAATTTAATTACATGGATGAAAGGGATTGAAATGAAACCAATTGTTTTGTTTTTCTCCAAATGAACTGATTCTGAACTGATAAAATATGGATCGAAACTGGCAACACTTTTAGGAACTTGCAGCATCGTCACACTACATACAGTAGCTACTTGTTGGAAAAACTAGTTTGTCATTGGAAATTTGAAAACAGCTGAGCTACGGTCATGCAGCTGAAAAAGGCAGTTGCATTGTTACTTAGATATTTACTGTCATACGTTGAACAGATGAACGAAGTCATGGAAACTGGCAAGGTTTAGGTTGACAGCACACGCTCCCTGAGTTGAAAGAAATATCAATCTTTCTAATTTAAGCAACTGCCGTCAGACATTTAAACATGCTGAGGAGTTTATTAACACTATTCAATCAGGTGACCCCTGCAGACAAGATTTCGACCGTGTGTGCAGTGGGCAAATCATGTTTGTTCTCAGCCTCTGGCACTTTCCTTTTGCATCGGATTTCACTCTGTGAACTTTAAAGTTAGAAAAACAAACCACCTTTCCATTCCTCCACTGTGTGTTCCCTCTCATTGAGCTGTTTGTCTGTGATTAGAGGAGGTGGCTGAAGAGAGAAAGATAAGCACACATAATTATACTGGTGAGAAAAACAATCAATGTGTTGAATATGAGCTTATCTGGGGTGAAAAACAGAGCCACAAACTTCATGTTTTTCTTGTGAGAACTATTAGATACACTACTGTTGACAAGTATGAAGTCAGTAAGATTTTTTTTGTTTTTGAAAGAAATCAATTTTTTTCAGCAAGGACTTAAGCCGATCAAAATTGATCTTTTGTAAATTATATTTAAATGGTTACAAAACATTTCTATTTCAAATAAATGCTGTTCTTTTGAACTCAAAAAACCTGAATGTAACAGAATTAACAAAAATATTAAGCAGAATTTGAATGATTTCTGAAGGATCATGTGACACTGAACACTGAAGTAATTACGTCTGAAAATTTAGCTTTGCCATCATAGGAATACATTACATTTTAAAATACAGTGAAACAGAAAACAGTTATTTTAAATTGTAAGAATATTTTACAAACTTACTGATCTTTGATCAGATAAATGTGAACGAAGTGAACGAATGTGAATTTTGATATTCATCAAAATTACAATGAGCTTCCATATGTACTTGACAGCAGTGGATTGGAAATTGGAGTGTGTGAATGCGCATAAACTCACCGCTTCCACTTCAGCTGGGTCGTACCACACGTTAATGTAGGGGTGCTGCAGAGCTTCATCCACAGATATTCGTTTGGATGCATCTATCACCAGCATTCTAGACAGCAGGTCCCGCGCCTGGCTCGCTGCATAACAAATCACATCCAGTACAAAGAGTTAATGGTACTTCAGTTGTTCTCAAGTGGCTTGATATGTCACCTCGACCACACAGCAGATTATTCAGGCCACTCACTGTGCATGCACTGGAAATGATTAGAATTTCAAATTAAGCTGTTTTTCTTCTGCAAATATGTGTGTCAGTTAAATGATGGATGAAATCTATATTAACATTTTGACATGCACATTTGCAAGCAGCGATTGCACTGCTGCCTAATGAAGTAAAATGCTACAGAAATAATGTCACCCATTTAAATCTTCAAGCAGATGTACCTTTCAGTTTGTTGTGTTCTGAATCAGCAGGGAACAGGACGTCGGGAAAGAGCTTCTCAAAGCTGTATCCAGTGTACCGGGGCCTGTTCTCCACGTAGGTCCGCACAGACTGGTTGAGTTTCATCATAAACTCCTGGGATGGTGTTCCCAGCTGCTCTATGACTTTGTTCCACTGATCAATATCTTCAGG